GCTGGGAGAAGAGAATTCAGCAGCCATGAAAACCTTGGAGCCTCACAGAGACAGCAAACAGTGCGCCGCGCCAGGAAACAGATCGTCAGAAGCTGCAGCTTCCCAGGCGGGATTAGCAGCGGCGACGACGAGACGCGTTACACGAACCGGTTTTCCCCCTTGGGTGGTAAGATGATGGGGAGCAGCATTCGCATCTCCGTGGATGATTGCCTCTGTTCCTGTGGTCTCGTGGACGACCTATCTGCAGAGTGTGACAAGATTAAGGGTGTCTGGGAAGCGCAAGCCTCACCAAGAACTGATAACTACACCCCAAGGAAGAGCTCCTTGCGCAGTCCTATCGGAAGTCCGTGCTCCAAGGGGGATCGTAGGGTCAGTTTTTCAAGACATGTGCTGGTAATTGTCGTTTGAGCATGGTGGGAAATGGCATCACCTCCATGCTTCCGTTTTCCGTGCATGCAATGCACGCTGGCCCCATTTTTTGCATCGCGGCCCTTGTGGCCAGATGCTGAAGTGAATACGGTACATAGACGTTCTTGTTTTACTGAATTATGCTAAGCCTGTTCGGAGACAACAACATAATGTTTTTGGCCCTCGTCAGAAGTGTATATATTATTACGTTAGTATTTGAAACGAGATGCAACTGTAAGGGATTGTGAGGACGCGGTACAAAGTCGTTCAAGACAGCTGTTCAAGAGGATTTTGACGAACTGCCGTTCAAACTTGCTTGAACGGCAGACTATCGAGGGTGGTCAAGATTCGGAGGTCAGGATGACAGTGACCGGTACATGTTACACAAACGCGACATCACACATTGTTCGACAAGGCGGCGAGAAAGTGACAAACCGCTAAAAGCGGTGCGACAGCACAGGAAGTAGTATCACGAGTAACATTGTCGCCAACACAGCCCGTGATGCACGGGGAAATGTGTGTTTTGTGGGAAGAATGCGCCTCGGCGAAAACGTGGTACTAGCGATAAGCTGCTGTCGCAAGCGGTCGCGATGCGAATCATGAACACCGACCTGACGAACTTCTGTTCAAAACGTATAAGCCCTCGTTCGTCAGCATGCAGGTCAAGACGTGCTGACAACCTACCTCGGTTGGTACAACTTTGAACTGTACATCATTAGTTAACAGGGTAACCTGCTTCTACTTTCGGATGAGCACCTCTTGAACACGTCTTGAACAACTTTGTACCGCGTCCTGAATGTCGAAACCACAGCACCGAGCGTTTGGTTCGTCCCCCCAAATCTGGTACTATCTGCTCTGCTACTTGCTACCAGACCTAACCGTTTAAGATGCCTACTCACCTCATTGAGCCGCATTCAGACGAACCTTAGGACACGCCCATGCAAGACACAGATTTTCCTACATTTGTTTCGCTGACAAGATTTCTATCTCCTCGGGATCTCTAGCATTTCTTGGGGAGGGACCCTGGATATTGTAGGCCCTTGATAGCTCCGCTCCGCTTCTGCGATTCCTAGAAAGTATCTGCATCGGAGCATAGGCTATATCGGTGAGAGCTGGCGGGAAGTTTATTTTCGAAACGCGAAGCCGATAGCGCGATGGCGACCCGGGCCATAGATTGTGACGAACGGCGTCGCTCGTTCCCTCTGGTAGTTTCTTCCGATCACGACGTGTGGGGTACAAGGGTTGCTATTAGAAGCCGATTTCGTAGACTCTGGATAGTCCCTGCTGCTGCTGCTGCTGCTGCTGCTGCTCGTGGTATTACGAAGCAGCTGCGGAGATAGGAAACAGTTTGAGCATCTCTTTTTTTCGAAGGTGACGGAGGTCGTTTCTTCAGGCTGCAAAGATGGTCGTTCAACAGCCATGCGGTTTCCTGCTTCCGCCAATCATGGTACAGCCGTGGATCGAGCTCGACGATTTGAATCTTGAGTATACGATACTTCCTCTGCCTGAAGCGACCCACACATCAGTAAAACCATCGGCAGAGGACGACATGATCTCGGTTCCCGTTCTCCAATCCGAAACCGACACGTGGCTTCTCGAACCGGACTTGTCTCGACGTCAGTTCTGGCCGTCAGAGGCTGCCATCTGTCAATTAACCGGCCGTTTATCGAACGGTTCGCCAACGGCGAGTCAGACGGACGGAGTTGTCCACGTGGCCGAGGAGCTTCTGAACGGCTGCGGCCTCATCCACGTGCTTCCCGTCAGCTCGCTGCACGGCTGCTCTAAAACCGTCGCGAATCGCGGCTGCTCTAGCCGGGTCGCGAATCCCGGCTGTTCTGGCGTCGCGAATCTCAGCTGCTCTAGTAGCGTCGCGAACCCCAACTGCTCCAGCGTCGCGAATCCCGGGTGCTCTTTGAAACCCCAGGCAGCGTCGGAAGGTTCCAGTGTTCTTCTACGTCAATCTTCTGCGTCAACGACACAAGCGAGAGACAACGACGTAGCGGATGAGCATGACACGTGTGACGACGCGGCTGATGAGCATAACACGTGTGACGGGAAGGTTGATGGGAATGACACGTGTGACGATGCAGCTGATGAGCATGACACGTGTGACGGGACGGCTGATGAGCATGACACGTGTGACGACACAAGTTCTGTCATTGCAGAGTCATCTGAGGAGCAGCAGACACCCGAGTTTCTTGATGCTTCATCCGAGCAGCACCAGCAGCAGCAGCAGCAGCAGGAGGAGGAGGAGGAGCAACAGAACCTGCAGCAGCACCACCAGCAGCAGAAGAAGAAGAAGAAGAAGCAGCAGCAGCAGCGGCGGCGGCAGCAGCAGCAGTCAACATCGGTTCCCCCGACGGAATCGCCTCAGAGCTCAGGGAGCGCGAAGCAAGCAATCAGGAGCCCCAGCTGTCCGCTCACCATGAGCCTCCGAAGCCGGGCAAAGGGGATCTCGGGAGATTCTCCTCCAGATGCTCTCCTGTGTACACCCGTGGCAAGCGGTTCAATCCCACGGGAATCAATCCCAAGCAGCACAATGCCAAGGGAACCAATTTCAAGTGATTCCACTCCAAGAAAGAGGATCCGCTCACGTGACATTGACATTCCTTCTTCAGGAGCAGCAGTTGAGAAGCGTCCAGTGCGGAGACTACGGGTCCTTGTACCTGGAGATTCTGCAGATCGTCTCAGTCATGATCAGATGGAATTGGAGAAAACGGGACTCGAAGCTGTGACTGAACCGAGGAAGAGAGGAAGCACACGTTCTCGGAAGACAGCTAGCCTGAAGGAGATGAATCAGGATCTGCCTTCTCCCATCCGCAAGCATCAGATTGATACCAAGGAAGCGAGTCTCCAGGCTGTTACTGAATTGAGAAAGAGAGGGAGCACGCGGTCTGGACGACCAGGAAACCTGAAGGAGATCGATGAGGATTTGACTTTTCCAGTTCCCAGACGCCAGATGGATTTGAAGGAAGGGGAAGCGGGTCTCCAGGCTGTTACCGAGTTGAAGAAGAGAGGGAGCAGCCGGTCTGGAAGAGAAGGAAGCCTTAAGGAGATTGATGTGGATTTGACTTCGCCGATTCCCAGACGTCAGTCCCTGAGCCAGTCAGCGACACGAAGGTCCGTCAGGCTCACGAGAAGCAATATGAGATATTCTGAGGAGGAGGAAGATGAAGAGGAGGAGGAGCTTCTGGTTGCTGCAGAGGAGGTCAAGCAGCGTGTTAAGCATCAGGAGAATGTTGATGTTCAGCAAGTGGAGCTTCAGGATGCTGCAGTTAATGTCAAGCGGGAGGTGATTCAGGATGCTGCAGTGAAGGTCAAGCAGGAGGTTCCGCAGGAAGAGGCTGCTGGAGAGGCTGCTGCTGCTGCTGCTGCTGCAGCAGGGAAAGAGAACATTGACCCTGTGTCTGCTGAGCAGGTGCTAGGAATGGCGGGAAGAAGACGCGTGCTGCAGAAGAGAAGGCAGTCATTCAAAAACGAGGCCAGGTCTTGCCAGGGTCAGAAACGGCATCTGAAGCCAGAAGCAGCGGAGGAGAAATCTGGACAAAACCAGAAGCGGGAGGTGAAGAAGACGAAGAGGGGGTTACCTACTGAAGCAGTGGCTGTGCTGCGGAGATGGATTGAAGCCAATCCACACCGGCTGTTTCTGAATGCGAGCGAGAAGGTTGAGTTGGTTCAACAAACCGGGCTGACTAGACTCCAGGTGAGCAGCAGCTTCTGAATTGCGGATGGGTTGGGATGGAATGGGATGGGTTGGGTTGGGTTGGGTTGGGATGGGATGGGATTGGTTGGGTTGGGTTGGGTTGGGTTGGGTTGGGTTGGGTTGGGTTGGGTTGGGTTGGGATGGGTTGGGTTGGGATGGGTTGCCATTGGAAGCAGTGGTTGTGCTGAGGAAGTGGATTGAAGCCAACCCACACCGGCTGTTTCTGAATGTGAGCGAGAAGGTTGATCTGGTTCAGCAAACCGGGCTGACTAGACTCCAAGTGAGCAGCAGCTCCTGACATATGGATTCCACTTCTTGACTTGACTCAGAAATAGACTCATCACACACTGACCAGGATCCTGGTGAGCAGAAGCTTCTGACATACTGATTGAGCTGTTGCGCCTTCAACAAGCTGATGAATTATCGTGATTCATGCGATACCGGTACGACTGATTTGTTTTCCTTGGCTTTGTTTTTCCCTCTTTTTTTGCAGGTGGAGAACTGGTTTTGCTATGCGAGGAGGAGGGGCTACATGGCTCATGCTGGTGAGTTTGAGCAGTCGGATTCATTCCCAGCTGAAGAATGACAAAAGACAATGGGATTGGATGGGCATTACTGCACTACTTGATTTTGCTAACTTGCATTAACTGAAGATCATGTCAGGAGTATGATTCTGGGTACTTGTCAACTATAACAGATTGATGATATGCATGCATAACTCTCAGGTGTTCCATTCAAGTTGAATCCATTAATCCTGGCGAAATGAAACCATTTTGCACACGTTCTTTGCACAAGTGTTACAGTAGAGGGCAACATCTGTGGTTATACGAGGGCAATCAAACAAGGTGCTTGATCTGCACTACTACCTAACTGTTGTTTACTATAATATTCACACGGGTATACCTGGTAAGAGAATGAAATAAACCCTACACTTCACATGGTACATTATTGGTTACAGTATTGTGAATCTCGTTTCTGAGGCCTTCAACTCTTTGAGATGGTTGCCATATCGAATCTACACTTCTTCTGGCATTGCTATGTTGTACTGTGCTGCTGGTACACCACATTCTGCAGTCCACTACACTCTCTTCCTCTCTATGGAGAAGCTCCCTGTAACGAACACAATAAGATAGGAGGCAGAAGAGAGTTGTCAAGGCGTGAGGAGGCAGGATGGGGTGGAAGGGGGAAGAGATGATGGGATAGGAGGGGAGGGTTTCAGAGTGAACACTTGAGTTCGTACAAGAAAAGTGTATCTGAAACAAGAGGAAAGGAAGTGATGAGGTTAGGCAAGGGGAGGGGCAAGGGGCGAAAATCACAGGCAATTACTTGAGATTATATCATAATTGTTTTCCAGTCGTTTTTATAATCACGACCACATTGTATCGCACCACACCACACATGACAGCCACCAGTGCAAGCCACCAAAATCTACCAAACCCCATCGCACAGCATCACCGCATCACACACCTGTCTATCTTGGTAACCAAGCCTGGATCCACATCATGCACGAACAGGAAGGGCCCTCCCCCAGGGGCACCTCCCCCAAAAGCACCTCGCCCAGTTAGGTTTTGCCAGAGAGAGGAGTTGACCGAAGGCATCTGCAATGGGGATACAGAGAGGGGGGGAAGATGGATGTGATTAAGCCAATTCAAGTGCTTATAACGAAGATCCCATCCCATGTAACTGCCCTCGTGCGTATTTGTGTGCAATTGAACCACATGCCCTGTGATAATGACTTGTATTGAGACGCCTCAAAACTGATTAACTGTAACTCACGCCTTTGTGTGCTTGTTAAGGGCGGGAATGTCAGGCAATCAACTAACCGAAATAGGAATGGCTGACTGTGAAGGCCCATTTATGTGCTTGTAACGAATACCCAGTGCTTTGAGACGTCTCAGGAAAAACAAATCTTTCAACGAATCCTCCCCATGCAACTGACCTCGTGCCCTTGCGTGACTGTAAAGGGCGGGAAGTGCAGGCCACTGTTCACGACCGAGTGATTAAACCGGGCGGCCTGGCAGGCGGCGGTTGGCATGTAGTGCAGGTGGGGCGAGAGCGTGTCCCCCAGGAACATGAGCATGCGGCGTGGGATCGCGTGTGGTTCGTCAATTAAATAGCGGATCAACGGCCGAGATGCAAGCAGAGGGAAGGAGCCTGTGAGTGGGGGAGAGAGAGCAGGTGAGGAGAAGGACGACATGACCTCAAGGATAGGAAGGTAGAGAGGGAGGGAAGGAGAAGGGGAAGAGCAGACCAGTGAGATGGGGTGTTGAAGGAACATGAGCATCCAATGGCGCAGATAGAGGAGGTTTTGAGGACGGAATGTAGGATAGATAGACGGTTGAGATTGAAGCAGCAAGAAGGCTGAGAGGAAGGGCAGAGAACAGGAGGGAAAGGGAGTGAGGGATTTAACAACTAAGAAGAGGTTTCCCTATTAGATAACTCACTTACTACTACCTGTTGTCACAACCCTTGTTAAAAATCTCTGAATCCCGGTAACACTCACCAGTGTACACCTCGAATCTCGTAACCCTATCGCGCATATCAGCAATCCATCGTCCTCCTCTCCGCCTCTCAAACAGTGCATTGTCCGCAAACACACTCTCCTGGCGGTAGCTGGTTGGTGGAAAAGGGGAAGAGAGAGACAGGGGGGCGAGGGATGGGAGGAAGGGTAGGAATAGGCACGGTCAGCGGTCCATCGTTTCCCCCTTCCCCCCCCTCTCTCAGACAACGCCTTCCCTGCAAACACACTCTCCTGGCGGTAACCGTATGGCTGGTGAAGAAAGGAAGAGGGAGGGGGTTTGGGGGGTGGGCTAAGAGGAAGAGGGATGGGAGGGAGGCTAGCACAAGGGATGGAAGGGTCAGCAATCCATCATTCCCACCCCCGCAACGCCTCCCGAAAAAACGCACTGTCTACAAGCACTCTCCCCTGGTGGTAGCTGTGTGCAGTGAGGGTGTTTTTGAGACGTCTCAAAAGCACCCTCATTTTACGTGGCACTGTCTGCAAACACTCTCCCCTGGTGGTAGCAGTGTGCAGGGCCAGGCGGGACAGGGAGTGCCTGAGAGGGGATGGGAGGAATGGGTATAGGAATGAGAGTGAAGGGAGAGGGAAAGAGCGAGGACAGGACAGGGTTAGAAAGCCGCCCATGGGAAGTAGAGGTGGCCTTTGAGTCGACTCAAACGTCACCTTCTTGGGGAGGGGAGCGAGAGCATGGGATAGGACAGGACAGAGTTAGAAAGCCGCCCAAGGGGAAGAGATGGCATGGGTCTGCCTGCTTTGAGAATTCTCAGAAGGGGATGGGAGAGAAGTCAACAGAGTCAACAGAGTCATAGAGCCAACAGAGTCAACAGAGTCATAGAGTCAACAGAGTCAATAGAGTCAACACAAGTCAGGACAAGGCAGGTTGAGTTGAATCACTCGCCAAGGTTTTCAACGCATGGTCCATGATGGAGAGGCTCATTCAAGTCAACAGAGGTCAACGTGGCTCAACAAGTCAACTCACTCAAATCGGTGGTCAACCACATGGTCCACTAAGGAGAGGGTCAATCAAGTCACAGATCAGTACAAGGTCAACGCAATTCAGCCCAAGTCAACTAAATTCAACGAAAGTCAACAGGAGTAGTCAACTCACTTGAATCGGTGGTCAACCACGTGGTCCATGAAGGAGAGGCGAGGCGAGACGGAGGAGAGAATCCAAAGGAGCTCTGGCATGGAAAGAGGAGAGGAGAAGGGGGACGAGGTGGGCTGAGTTGAGTTGGGTTGGGTTGGGTTGGGTTGGGTTGGGTTCAGTTGGGTTGAGTGAGCAGGAAGAGGGGAGCATGGAGGGACATGGTGGCATAGAGGAGGGAAGAGATGGAAGCGACTCACCATCACTCAGTACCGCACAGCACCACACTGACCACCCTGTGCCACCAGAAGACAAACCTTTGCACCCACCAGCACCGATTTAAGCTCTTCTCGTTTGCACATACTTTGGCCTCCCCATCGCTCGTCACCGCATAGCACCACTCACAATCCAGTGTCATTAACGGATATTCCTCTGCACTCACCACCACGTTTCATTGCCCGAGTAAACTAGCCCTCCCCATCCCTCCTCACCGCTCATCACCGTACACGCCACTTACCATCCTGTGTCACCAGCGGGTAATCCTCTGCACCGAGCAGCACCAGCCACTGCCACCCACTCGCTCCGCCTCTCCTCTTCCCCTCTCCTACGCCCCTCGTTTTTCCCTCCCCGGATCCCCCATTCCTTGCCCCCTCCCCCTTCCCCTTCCCTCCCCACTCCCCCTCCCCTTCCCCATCACCCTCCACCTCCGCCCCCCCCTCCCCCTCCCCCTCCCCCATGCGCAGCAGCGTGTGCGCCAGGCGCAGCAGCGCAGCCAGGCGCGACCCCCCCTCTACAGTCACAATCTCCGGATCCTCAATCACGCGTATCCGTCCCGTTATAGTCACATAATCTTCACTCCCGCCCGCCTCTGCCGCCTCCGCCGGCGCTGCTGTCGACACTGCCGTCGCCAGGACGGGATGGGCGGCGAGTTTTGTCCGTAGCGCGAATGCTGAGTCAGCATCGTCAATGTACACGGCATATAGGTTCCGGGGATGGTATGTGGCCAATAGGAGGCGATAGATTCGATCCGTGTCGTCTTTCGACCCTGTGAGGGCAAGAAGGGGAACGGAGAGAGTGAGTTACGGGTGGGAGAGTGAGTGAGCGCGGAGAGGAAGGGAGGAGAGAGGAGGGACATTTATGCGTAAGAACGTGGGATCCGGGAGTGCTAGCGTGGAATTTAACAGATTCTATTGTGATGAAAAGAAGGAGGACGTGCGCGCACGTGTCGTATGCAAGCAGTGCGTGCCACGTGTGCGTGCCTGGTTCGAGAAAGGTAAAGGAAGGCACCATATCCGCCCAAGTGGATGTGCGCACGTGGTAATCACGCGCTTACGTACCTAGGATTCCATACGCGAGGGACGGGACGAAATCCTCATTATTAGCCTCCCCCAGGTCCTGGTTAGCACTTTGTTGATGTGCTGATACACTCGCAGCTCCCCGAAGCTTCCCAGAAGCTACGAGGGCGCGCAGCATAGGGAAATCCCACGGATCGCCCTCCCATACCGAGGTGGATGTGCTTAAAAAGAAAATGTTACACAAAAGAAGTGTGCATATAACGAGGTAGATCGCGAGTTCTCGCACGCTATGCTCGCCTAGGATCGCGAATTTTGTCGGCAACGGGTTACCAGCGCTGGAACCGTGCGAAGGTTGCTCTTGTGCGAGCTTCGCCATGCTGCTGAAGCAGAGACTGCCGTTGTTCGTCGCGGATTCTTGTTATATGGCGACCAGCTTGTTACATGGCGATCCAATACACGTTCAAGCATATGCAGAATGTTAAAAAAAGACTAGCAGTGGGTTACACGGAGCGTAGTAGAGAGAATTAAACGGAGCGGACTAGACGATCGATGCCTGTGCAAACAGAGCTGGGTACGAAACTCATTTGGCCGACACTGAAATACTGACGTGGCAGGCGGACACGAGCCACAATAAACAGGAACTCACTACGCGCTGACGCAATCTGTCATTGAGGACCGAGTCAGACTAGGTGGTGCGTAGAACTGAATGAGAACGACATATTACGTGGTGCGTAGAACTAATTTCTGTACGGAGTTGTACTAGCAACGCGTTAGATTAGGACAGGAACAGGCTGATTCGGTTGTGTTGTGCGGCCATGGGCAAAGGAAGGGAGCGGATTTAGGATAGGTGTGAGGGGAGGGGAGTTATTTATCGAGCCGCCTTGCAATAGCTGTGATTAAAACGATAACAGCTGGCGCCTTGTGACTCGCATGACTAAAGCGAGACCCTTGCTTCGGTCGGAGTCGTCCAAGGTTCGTCCTGACCAGGTGGACCTAGTCGAGGGAGTTTTGCCCAGCCTCCAACCAATACAGAGCGTTGAAATTCGGTTCAGCTCGACCAGTGATTGGTGTTGAAGGAAGTGCGCGTCACAACCAAACCTGCCACGCGAGCCTCACTTGGCGGCTTGACGTTGCGCTTCGATTCCAAGGCAGTGCAGCTTTGTGTGCGAGGCGAGATTAGAACGAAAATCATTTGTTAAGATATAATGAACCATCTAACGAACATCTAAGCGTGCACGGAAAGGTGTAAGCCGGTTGGATCTTGGAGCGCATAGAATATGTTTCTATCGAGTACACTTTCGCATAGGTCAGCAAACCGACACCTCATTCGAAAAGGGCTTTTGCCTAACTGTTGTGAGCCTTGCAACACTAGATTGTAACGCATACAAACTCACTGAACCGCACTATAGTGAGCTTGCTCCGCTGACGTATCCCAGCAGGTTCATAATTGAACCTAATCAAACCGCGTCGCGGTGAACCCGAAAGCGGCTTTCCTGGCCAATTAGAGCCCATCGCCGTCCTCAGGCCAACAATCCGCCGTCCGTAGCGCCCGCCGCGTGCCGCGCCGACCATGGCGCAAGTTGGCTACGCGCCTCGTTTCGCGGATTTGGATGGGGGATTTTCCGGTCGCATGCTTGGGAATGCGATTCGCGAGCCCGCTGCTTTAGGGAGGCGAAGCGAAAGTAGTTCCGGTTTCACGTGCTCAATACATATACCTATCACGACCTCCCCTTTTTTCAATCATACCTATCTCACGGAATAATATATCTGCTCCTTCCAGGCGCACGACACGACGTTCCTAGAAATACCGGCAGTCTCTGCTCTCCGCGCCCACAGTTTTCGGCTCTGAGTTAAAATACACGTTCTATCCTCCGATCTACAATCAGCGACGCATCCATGGCTGCGGTTCGGCCTGTGAGTCTGCCTCCTGGGCGGGCCACGGGAGGGACTACGTCCGTGTGGCGTTACCTCCTCGTTCTCGCGGTCGTTTCGCTCGTCTCGCTCGTTTCGCTCGTTTCGCCTGTGGATTCCAAGAAGACCTTCAGCCCTCGTGAGTGACCCTTTCGAGATTCGTTGCTGGCACTGAATTCTAGTGCTATAGCGCGTACAACACATTACCTCCCTTCCGAAATCTCCTCAATATCGCCCTCCTCTCGCTCCTCTCGCTCGTTTCGTCCGTCCATTCCAAGAAGATCTTCAGCCCCCGTGAGCTGCTCTTCTTGCGATCTCATTGTATTGTCAAGCAACGCCCTGCGCCGTTGGGTTTTCCCTCTGGGCGTGTGGGTCTGCCTCCTGGGCGTGTGGGTCTGCCTCCTGGGCGGGCGACGGGAGGGACTACGTCCGGATAGAGCTTCCTCCTCGTTCTCTCCCTGCTCGCTTCCCTCTCGCTCGCCTTGCCCCCCTCTCGCTCGCCTCGCCCCCCTCTCGCTCGCCAACGGCCAGATGTACCCGTGCAGGGAGATGGCTCCCTTCTTTACCCTCTCTCCCTGCCTTACTCCCCTCTGTCCTCTCCCGTTCCCCTCTCCCTTTGCTTCTCCAGCACCCGCCCAGCCCATAATCCTGTGCTCTTTGAACGTGATAGTGTGTGGGGCCAACGGTCAGATGTACCCGTGCAGGGAAATGGCGCCTAAGGGAATGGCCACCACCACCGACCTCTCCAAGTGCCGGCCTCCTGGGGGTGAGTAGGTGTTGCCGCGCACCAGAAGGCAAGTTGGACCAGAATACAACCCTAGACCCCATCAGCCATGTGGACTGGCTGGGCGAGTTGCCCAGCACTCATTTTCCACTAGCACTGATGAGAAGTGACTTCCTGACTGCAGCTCGCCCAGTCCACATGGCTGGCACCAAGAGGCAAGTTGATTGAACCAGAATACAACCCTAGATAGACCCCAATCCCAACTTCTTGTACTGGATGGAAACTCGCTTGTGTTTTGAGCCGACTCAAAATTCGAAATCCAGTAAATTCAAGATTCAACACGAGTTGGACCCCCCCCCCTCTCCCCCCCCTCCCCCCCTCCCCAACCCTGAAGTCATACTCCCTTCATCCCCCTTCACCCCTTTTCACCTCCCCTCACCCCTCCTAACCCTCTTGCACCTCCGCCCCTCCTCCCGTTCTCCTCTCCCCCTCTCCTCCTCGTTGACTCAGATGTGATCGTGACGCCTTTTAAAGCTCAGTGCCCCGTTAAAGCCTTCCCTCGGCACCTCATGTTGTGAACCTCATCCCTTCCCCCCCCTCTCACCCCCCTCCTTCCCCCCCTCCTCGTTGACTCAGATGTGATCGTGACGCCTTCGGAAGCTCAATGCCCCGTTAAAGCCCCTAAGGTGCGTTGCTAATAACGGATCCCTGTGAGCCTGTGCTCATAACGAATCACTATGGGCTTGTGCTTTTAAAAAAAACAAGGCAAACAATTGTGGAGGGATGGGAGAGGCGGGGGAATGATAGTTAGGTGGGGTGGTTAGGTGGGTTGTGGCTGTTGGTGGTTGGGTGTCGACTAAAGATTGTTCTCTTACAGGTGTGTGCTAGTGACGGGAGAAACTACCCCTGTGCTAACGTGGCACCCAAGGGGCTGCTGACGACGACAGACCTATCTGCTTGCCAGACACGTAAGCAACTCCTTACTGCTCCAATCGCTTCTTGCCACGTGGACATGAGAAAATGACACATCACCTCTTCTCGCACTTACAATCTGAAGGCAAATACTCTCTTTTATCTATTTTATTTTATTTTTTATTATTATTTTTTTTACCCTTTTTCCTTTTTGAACCAACGCCCCCCTACGCCTTTCCTGTTCCTCTCTCCTCTCTCCACCCAATCCACAGCTGCCACGTGTCCCTGGTCCACGTCAGCATACAGCAAATCCAGCCTGGCACTCCTGGCCAATGAATGCAGCACCCTCGCTCCCTCCTCCTCTTCCTCCACACCTCTTCCCATTACCTCCTCTCTGATTGGCTGCTGCGCTGCCACGTCAGCACTCCTCCAATCCACCGCCATCGCCACGGCAAAGGCTAAATCGCCGAGGGTAAATACCCCTGCGGTTTACAGCGCCCGTGCCGGGCAGTGCATGAAGGAGTTTGTACCCTATATACAATCACCCAAAGCGGCATTTGCAGCAGCTACAGCAGCATCAGCAGCAGCGGTTGCGGTACTTTCTAAGTTTAATCCGGTGCTACAGTGCGGGCGGCTGGGGTTTGGGGCGGCACAATTTGGACTGGAGGGAGGCAAGGGCGCGTGCAGGGGGATAACTACAGAGGCCCAGGTGAGGGGGAGTGTGGGAGAGAGGTGACGGGAAGAGGGGTGGAGGGTCAGCAGAGAGACGTGCAGCAGCAGCAGCACAGATCCTGTTTTTTCCGTTTGCCTCCACTTTTTACCCCTTTTCGCTCCCCTTTTTTCTCTTCCTGCCTCCCCTTTTTTCCGCCTTTGCCCTCCCCTTGTTACCTGTTTTGCCTCCCCTTGTTACCTGTTTTGCCTCCCCTTGTTACCTGTTTTGCCCTCCCCTTGTTACCTGTTTTGCCTCCCCTTGTTACCTGTTTTGCCCTCCCCTTGTTACCTGTTTTGCCTCCCCTTGTTACCTGTTTTGCCTCCCCTTGTTACCTGTTTTGCCTCCCCTTGTTACCTGTTTTGCCTCCCCTTGTTACCTGTTTTGCCTCCCCTTGTTACCTGTTCTGCCTCCCCTTGTTACCTGTTTTGCCTCCCCTTGTTACCTGTTTTGCCCTCCCCTTGTTACCTGTTTTGCCCTCCCCTTGTTACCTGTTTTGCCTCCCCTTGTTACCTGTTTTGCCTCCCCTTGTTACCTGTTTTGCCCTCCCCTTGTTACCTGTTTTGCCTCCCCTTGTTACCTGTTTTGCCTCCCCTTGTTACCTGTTTTGCCCTCCCCTTGTTACCTGTTTTGCCTCCCCTTGTTACCTGTTTTGCCCTCCCCTTGTTACCTGTTTTGCCTCCCCTTGTTACCTGTTTTGCCTCCCCTTGTTACCTGTTTTGCCTCCCCTTGTTACCTGTTTTGCCTCCCCTTGTTACCTGTTTTGCCTCCCCTTGTTACCTGTTTTGCCTCCCCTTGTTACCTGTTTTGCCTCCCCTTGTTACCTGTTTTGCCTCCCCTTGTTACCTGTTTTGCCCTCCCCTTGTTACCTGTTTTGCCTCCCCTTGTTACCTGTTTTGCCTCCCCTTGTTACCTGTTTTGCCTCCCCTTGTTACCTGTTTTGCCTCCCCTTGTTACCTGTTTTGCCTCCCCTTGTTACCTGTTTTGCCCTCCCCTTGTTACCTGTTTTGCCTCCCCTTGTTACCTGTTTTGCCTCCCCTTGTTACCTGTTTTGCCTCCCCTTGTTACCTGTTTTGCCTCCCCTTGTTACCTGTTTTGCCTCCCCTTGTTACCTGTTTTGCCTCCCCTTGTTACCTGTTTTGCCCTCCCCTTGTTACCTGTTTTGCCTCCCCTTGTTACCTGTTTTGCCCCCCCTTTTTTCCCCCTTTGCCCTCCCCTTTTTTTCCCCCTTTGCCCTCCCCTTTTTTCCCCCTTTGCCCTCCCCTTTCTACCCCCTTTTCCTCCTCGTTCACCCCTTTCGGCTCCCCTTATTTCCAATTTTTGCCTCCCCTTTTTCCCCCTCTGCTGTCTCTGTGGTTCTCACCAGCTCACATCCGCGTTAAAAGCCTCTCCAGTATGGTGGGTGAGCAGCTACATGAAGAAAGACTGCAGCAGCACCACCGGCAGCACTGGCCGGTGTTCAGACTGCGCAAAGCAGGTCTCCACCCTCTTTGGTAAGTTGACTGGAGGGGCTCTGTGTTTGCTTGTGAGTTCTGTGTGAATGCAGCAACGCGGCTACAGCACCACTGGCAGCACGGGCCGGTGGGCCGACTGTGCCAAGCAAGTCTCCACCCTCTTTGGTGGGTCATGTGGGGAAATCTGTGTGTGCATGTGCATGTGAGTGCCTGTGCCAAACCCTCTTTCCCCAAGCCCTCTTTCCCCAAGCCCTCTTTCCCCAAACCCTCTTTCCCCAAACCCTCTTTCCCCAAACCCTCTTTCCCATTCTCAAAAACCTCCTCTACTCACCCCTCCTTGCCAGATGCCCTTATTCGCCCCGGAGACTCCGTTTCTCAGAAGCAGCGCTGCTGGGCTTTAATTGCCTACTATGCGGCGTCTTCACTCGGCAACTCCACCAGTCAGAGCAACGGCATTGCCCTTTGCCTGCATAGGAACGCCCCTTCCTCCCTTCCCTCACCCCCCTACCCGCCCTTCCCCACAGATGCTCTCATCCTCCCTGGGGATTCAGTGACTCAGAAGCAGCGCTGCTGGGCTTTAATTTCCCTCTTTCCCCCCCCCCCCCCCCCCCCCCCCCCCCCCCCCCTTCTCCTCCCCTTTCCCCCATGTCTCCACCCATGTCCACAGATGCCCTTATCCGCCCCGGAGACACCGTTTCTCAGAAGCAGCGCTGCTGGGCTTTAATTGCCTACTATGCGGCATCTTCACTCGGCAACTCCACCAGTCAGAGCAACGGCATTGCCCTTTGCCTGCATAGGAACGCCCCTTCCTCCCTTCCCTCACCCCCCTACCCGCCCTTCCCCACAGATGCTCTCATCCTCCCTGGGGATTCAGTGACTCAGAAGCAGCGCTGCTGGGCTTTAATTTCCCTCTTTCCCCCCCCCCCCCCCCCCCCCCCCCCCCCCCCCCTTCTCCTCCCCTTTCCCCCATGTCTCCACCCATGTCCACAGATGCCCTTATCCGCCCCGGAGACACCGTTTCTCAGAAGCAGCGCTGCTGGGCTTTAATTGCCTACTATGCGGCATCTTCACTCGGCAACTCCACCAGTCAGAGCAACGGCATTGCCCTTTGCCTGCATAAGAACGCTCCTTCCTCCCTCCTGCCTCCGGGGACCTCCATCAAGGCCGCTACTATCAACGCACCTACAAATAAGACTATTTTAAAGCCTCGTAGTAGTCTGCCTGCCGTCAAGCCTACTATTAAGGCCGCTCTCTATGCGGCTGATTCCCAGCAGGTCCTGGATCCTCCCGCAACCTCCACCTTCCGCGCCGCAGCCGACACGTCACCAGATGCCAGCTCAGCGCCGTCCACGTCAGCGCAGTCCACATCAGCAACGGCGATAATCGTCGCCAGCGTGGCGCTGGCGGTCCTGCTGGCAGCAGTGGTGGCAGCGACGATCCTAGCTGTCAGGGGGGCGCGGCACCACATGCACAGGCAGCGACTCGCCTCCTCCATCTCGATCTACCCCAGTGGTTCCGTCTCCGCGGCTTTAACTGCCGGCACGCCTCTTAAAGCATCGGTTTCAGGGTCGGAGGCTTGGGGTGGTTCGTCAGGGGTGAGTGAGGGGGGAGTGTCGAGGGAAGGTTCTGTGTCGTCGTTGGTTGGCTTGATTGGGGGTGCTGCAAGTGATGTGTCTGACACTCCTGCAGCAGCAGCAGCAGCAGTGCCGGTAGCATTGAAAGTGCCCGTAGCAGCACCATCACCATCACCAGCAGCAGCAGCGTTGGGGAAGGATGTGTGTGTGTCGCGATTTGTTATGGATGCAACAGCTGCAGCACCCGCACTGCCAGCAACAGCAGGAGCGGCAGGAGCAGCAGGAGCACCAACAGCAACTGCAGCAACAGCGGCAGCAGCAGCAGCACGTAAGCCTGTCCTCCCTCGCCTGGCAAGCGCACTCACTAAAGGCGCATTTGCTAGCGGCATGCACTCCCCTGTGCGGCGCCGAGCGGGCGTGCTTGCTGCCACTCCTGTTGCTCCTGTCACTCCTCTTAAACTGGTGGCACCCAAGGGAGGGGAGAAGTAGCAGTGGAGGGAAGTGGATCGGGTTTTGCTATTGGTGCATTTGCCAGCAGCATCGCAGTGCAGTGTCACAGATAGCGAGAGCATGAAGGGATAGTGCGATTGACGTTTACATGGGAGGTGCGATTGGCTTTTGAGGCGCCTCAAGAGTCGCAGTGCAGTGTCAAGGATAGCAGGCAGGAGCATGAAGGGATGGTGTGACATCTAAATGGCAGGCGGACGATCAGTGGAGCGGACTGGCTGTGCGGATAGAGTGGCAGTGAAAACGGGACGAGGCAGTGCGGGTGGATGAGGCAGTGCGGGTGGATGAGGCAGTGAGGGGGGTTGGTGAGGGAAGCAAGAGCAGCAGAGGAGAACAACCAGTCACACAGGCTAAACTTCCGTACGGAGCGTTGGGGGATGGGTGGGGTGGATGATTCTTAGCATACGAGGAGTGCAGTAAGTTATTTAGTTACCTAGTTTCTTTTCCAGCTTTCTAGGTCCTTTTCCAGGCTGCAACGTGTACAGTTTAGGATAGGAAGTGAATGAGTGCAAGGCTCTGTTAGTGAGATAGACAAAGTCTGTAGATGTTGTATTAAGCCTTGGCACTGCTCGTGCTAGATGATATGTTTAGCGAAACTGTAGTGCTGTAGTGCTGTGTGCCAACCGATGTATTTTCTGGAACCAGTTATGCTACGGTGCAACCCGATTTTGAAACATTTCAGTACTTGTATTGTATGTTGAGTCTTCTACACCTAAGCATAAACGTTTTTCTCCCTATCATTTGAAGGTAGATGAAATTGAGTCTTTCTGCCAAGCGAGCAATGCACAACTCTATTGAAGTAACAGAAGCAAACATCACAAGTGGAGTGGGAATCCCAGCCTTGAAGTAAGCGCATCACACCACCAGTCCGCCGCCTGCTTGTCACATATGCACCATTCTAAATCAGAGACGCGAAAGATAGCTAATAATCTGTGTGCGCGTCTGCTCATCACTTCTTTCCCGCCACGCACCATGTTTGCTAAGAGTTGGTAGCAGCAGCAGGACTAGGAGGCGCCAGTAGCAGAAGTAAGTGTGGCACTGAGAAATCGAGTTTCCAGTGTTGTCACTTCTACGCCACCTCAAATAGAGAGGCAAAGAAACTAATAATCTGTGTGCGCGTCTGCTCATCACCTCTTACCCGCCACGCACCACGTTTGCTACGAGTTGGTAGCAGCAGCAGGGCTAGGAGGCGTATGTAGCAGAACTACTAAACGTGTGTTACTAGTAACGACGGGAGATGATTTCGCGAATTCGCGAGCATTTCGTGCTGCAAGCGCGCCCGCCGTTGCAGCCCGGCAAAGCCACGACGCCGCGATTCGTAAAGCTGTAACCCCTCGCAGCCTCAGTACGGTTAGCACCAGATCGCGGAGTCGGGTTGGTAGCAGCGAGAGTGCTCATAGCGGAGATAGGCCGGATATAGTAGGATTGAGTTTTGAGTCGACTCAAAACTCGGGATATAGTAGGATTGGCGAGAATGTGTCAGCACCAAATCGCTGAGTGAGGTTGGTAGTTCTTGAATTGTCTCGTGCTACTGTTTAGGGAACGAAAACGCAAGACAATTCGCAGGGGGAAGAAAGAACACGCACGGCAATTCGCAGTGTTAACAGTGACGAGAATACGGGAACAACTGGACTCGGGAGGGGCTTGCTTTTCCTGCGACGAAATTCGTACCACGTACACGATTTTCTGGTCAGGGTTGACTTTTGGGTGTTTTTTACTAACCACAGAGAATGCGCCACTTTCCACTCGTGCTTACGTGTTCGAAGATTCGTCCTCCAGCGAGTCACGCTCGCTCTCATATGATCCGCAATTTCCGCCGCATTTTTCGCCGCACTTGACTCCGCTAGCGGGCGACGCGGTAAAGACCAGCGCGAGAATCAGCAGCGCGGGGGCGATGGGCGTGATGAGCGCAAGCACGAGGAGCGCGAGGGGGAGGTGGCGCAACGAGAAGCGCGTGCATACCGATATCGCCATCAGATTGCGTGAGGCAAACGACAGCGGCAAACGGCAGCTACAGGAGTTTTGAGGCGCGCGCTTCGAGACGTAAATGCTGCTGGGCAGAATCGAAAGAGGACGGAAGTTCGACCTCAAATGCTACAGGAAACGTGAGCTGTATTGCGGAAATTTCAGCAGTCTATGTATTACTGTGAAAAATGCTATGCGATGGGTGACCCGAGGCAAAATATGCTTCATTCGGTTGAGCAACGCAACGAGGACAGATTGAATATAAATATATGAAAGCTATGAGCTATGCGAAGAGAGCTTGGGCTGAGCGGAAGCAGGACCTCACGCGATTTGGAAACCGAAGCACAGATGACAATCGTACTGAAAACAGCAAAGCACTTTCTTATATGTTGCTGAGGAAATGGCGCTACCAATGTGCGCAGCCATGGGACACAGAGTCTCGTTTGGGTTTTCTCAATGAAATGTGCACGAGGACCAGAGGAGCAGCGCAGCCATTCCGTGAGCAACTCTGGATGAAATGACGTGCGAGTGGGAAGAGGAGGAGAAATTCCAATGTCCCACGCGCCATTTGAAATTCGAGCAATTTCTGTGCCGACACGGCATGCTGGGATGTTGACTCGAACAGCGCTGTGTTACGATTGGTTGCGCTTGTTGCGGAGCCACAGCGGCAACGCGACCAAGAAAGCTTCCCGCCTGGAATTGGTGTCCTTCCTGGCAGCTGCTGGTGTTTTGGGTACACCGAAAAAACTTCAAATTAAACTGTAGAAAGTTTACACACTGCAAACAAGTACTTGCAGTATGCAAAGCCTTCTGAATTTTGCAGTCGAACAGGTCAGCCACAGAAAATCTTCTCTGCACAAGCACAACTCGGAACCATGGAAATTCCCACCACCCCTCGTTGTGAGTGAGCACCACTTGAGATATGCAGTGGTAGATTGAAATTGAATCAAACATACCGAACACGGAAAAGCTACTGCATAAGCAATCACGTTACTTAAGCGCTCATCTACACAACTTCCTAAGCTTCGAAGTACGCAGTTCCACAGGCAAGCCACAGAAAATCTTCCTCCATACAAGCACAACCCGGAACCTCGGCTGCCCCCTCCACCCCGCCATGTTCCGATAAGGAGGGACGGCGCCGTCGAATGTGATTATATGGAACGGGGCGAGGAAGGGTAGCGTGTAGGGCTTGAGAGCGAGAGGCGCGGCGTATGAGAGGGGGAGGCGGTGGGCTGGGGGGGAGGTGTACCAGGAAGAATAAGCGGCGTTTAGGAAATGGTTTACGGAGTCGGTCGGAAAGAGTGGTGATGATAGACGATTCATGAAGGCCTGTGGTGGTGAAGAAGTGAAGGGTGTCAGAATCCAGAGACAAGGATGATGCATTGATCAAGAGTTGGGTACATAAGCTAACCCTAACATTGGGTTGTACCCCATATGGGCTACCCCACTAGCAGCCTACACAAACACAATATGCATAGTTTGACACACTCCCATAGGCAAAGTGGGGGAGAACAAGGGGTCACAAGACCAGTCAAGAGAAACAAAACAAGCTCAGGGTGGATCACAACGTCACCACACACACTGAGCACAAGCAAAGGGCCACAAGGCCTGTCCACATGCAGAGGTATATATGCAACAACAACAATACAGTGATCACTACCTAGCAAGAACAAGCATGCAGGTATATATATATATAAAGATCACAGTACAGGCAGAGTCTACAGCAAGTGTGGAAACGTAGGCACAAGGCCCAACAAGGTACAAAAGCGCTGATGATCACCAGACGGAAGTGCCTTGGTGAATATATCAGCAGTGTTGGCCCGAGTGGCCACGTGTGCAAGACGAAGCTGACCACGCTGCTGCAACTCTCGAGCCAGGAAGTAACGCAGAGCGATGTGCTTCGTTCTGTGCTCCAGTTTGTGCTCCTCACACAAGGCAATGGCTGCCTTGTTGTCAACGTACAGAACTGGAGGAGAACGAGGCCGCTCTCCCAGGTCGGTCAGCAGGTACGTGAGCCAGCGCAGCTCCTGAGCAGCCATGGCGGTGGCGTAGATCTCAGCCTCACAGCTGGAGCTGAGAACAGAAGACGAGCGAGTAGAACGCCACGAAACAGAGCCAGAGCCGAGGCTGAAAGTGTAACCCTGTGACGACCGCTGTGTAGCCTGGTCGTCAACCCAAGACGCGTCTGAGTGCCCAGTGAGGACCACCTCTCGCCGTCCTCCAAGCACGAGCCCCATGCCCGATGTACTGCACAAGTAGCGCAGTACCCTCTTCGCAGCATCCTAGTGCACCTTTCGGTGCCGACCAGGAGCCACGTAGCGGGCCAAAAGGCCAAGAGGGTACGCAAGGTCAGGACGAGTGCAAGTCATCAGGTACATGAGGCAGCCTACTAGCTCTGGGTAAGGACCACTCGGCTCTACGGACTCGTCCGAAGGTGGAGCTGAGAGCGAGTGACCTGTAGCCAGAGGAGTGGACTGTGCCGAGGACCAGGTGAAGCCGAAGCGCTGAAGGACCTGCTGCACCATGTGTGACTGAGTCAGAGTGATGGTGCGCCGTGCTCTATCCCGGGTGATCTGCAAGCCAAGGTAGCTGCGCAGCTCACCCAGATCTGTGCACGTGTGTCTCTTCTGCAGCTCCGACTTCACCAGGGCGAGAGCCTCAGTGTCAGCAGTGGCAAAGACCAAGTCGTCGACGTAGACGAGGATGTAGAACGGCGGCAGCGAAGTGTCGGTGCGCAGAAACAGTGACGGGTCAGCTGTGGAGGGCGCAAACCCGAGAGCCGCAAGCGTAGTCCTCAGTGTGTCGTGCCACTCACGAGGCGCCTGACGGAGACCGTAGACTGGCCGGCGGAGGCTCCACTGGGTACCAGGAGGGAACGACCCAGTGAAGCCAGGTGGGCGGCGCAGCCAGATCTCCTCGTGCAGGCTGCCCTGCAAGAAAGCTGTGCTGAAGTCAAGCGAGTGAAGCTCGTAGTCACGCTGGGCGGCAACGTGCAGCAGTACCCAAAGAGTGGTCATCTTCGGGGTGGGGGAGAAGGTCTGGAAGAAGTCAACCCCCTCTCGCTGACTGAAGCCTCGAGCAACGTAACGTGCCTTGAAGACAGGCGGAGAACCAGGCGGCCGCTTCACCCTGAAAATCCACATGCCACTGACGATGTTCGCCCCAGGAGGGGGAACGTCGTCGACGTAGGTGCCTGTGGACTTCCAGGATGCCATCTCTGCGTCCATGGCTGCCTGCCACTGAGAGGAGTAGGGACCCGCGACCGCCTCAGCGTACGAGCGCGGGGTGGGGATGTCTAGTGCATCCGGGTCTCCCTCAGGGGCAAGCAGCATGGTCACGAGATGAGGCGCAGCGGCTGCAAGACACTCAAGGTCCTCGTGCCTGTCCTCAAGGACGTCCGTGCTAAGAGCACACTCACCCCCGACGGACGGAGGACAGACAGACTCAGACTCAGCGACAAGACTAGTAGCGTAGTCTAGACGACAGGCAGCCGCAAAGTCAACAAGCTCAGCAACCAAAGCAGTCGCAGCAGCAGACTCAAACGAGGGGTCAGTGACAACAGTGGCGAGCAGACGCGTGACAGTAGGGTGCTCAGCACGAAACCGGTCAGACTCAGGGTCCGGAACGTGAGGCAAGGAAGACGCAGGAGGAGACGGCAGAGAAACAGACTGCGGAACAGAGGAAGGACGACGGACGACAAGGTGTGCGGTGGGGACAGGCGGCGAACGCGGACACGGAACACGACGACCGGTACGACTAGGACGAACAGGCGAGACAGGACGTGACGCAGGCTCACGACGCTCAGCAAGACTACCCGTCTGCTCAGTGTAAGGAGAAGGAGCAGGCAGCGGTGAGCCAGGCCCTAACGGAAGACCAGTAGACGACGGGAGAGTAAGAACCTGACGAAGAGCAGAGTCAGGCGGCGGCAGAGACGACGGAGACGGCGGAGCGAAGAACAGTCGTGGCGGCGCAGCTGCACCAGAACCGGCAGCTCCAGCAGCTCCAGTACCCCCAGCAGCTCCAGCACCTCCAGCAGCAGAACCGACACCTCCAGGCCCAGGGTCTCCAACCCCAGTGCCTCCAGCAGCAGCACCCCCAGAACCAGTACCTCCAGTCCCAGGGTCTCCAGCCTCCACGTCTCCAGCAGTAGCACCCCCAGAACCAGTACCTCCAGTCCCAGGGTCTCCAGCCTCGGTGTCTCCAGCAGCAGCACCTCCAGACGCAGCACCCCCAGCCCCAGCAGCTCCAGTACCTCCAGTACGAGCACCTCCGGGACCAGCGACTCCAGCACCTCCAGTAGAAACAGTACCAGCACCACTCCCAGCTCCAGGGACGGCAGCAGAAGTACCTCCAGCAGTAGAGCCCCGGGCTCCAGCAGCGCGACCCTGACGGCGACCGTACCAGTCGTGCAGCTGCTGCGAGGTGAGAGGCACACGTGGACGAAGGCGGCTACTCCAAGGAGACCGCGCAACAGCAGACTCTGAACCCTCAGCGCCAGCACCCTCAGCAGCTCCAGCGCCACCAGCACCAGGACCTCCAGCAGCTCCAGAACCTCCAGCGCTAGCACCCTCAGCAGCCCCAGAACCACCAGCTCCAGCACCTCCAGACCCCTCACACCCTCAGGCTCAGCACCTCCAGGCTCTACACCCTCAAGCTCTGCACCCCCAGGCTCCGCACCCCCAGGCTCAGCACCCCCAGACTCAGCACCCCCAGAAGTAGCACCCCGAGCAGGACCACCCCCAGCAGGACCTGAGTCACCAGTGACCTCAACCGGCGCAGGGAAGGGAGGAGGGTCTACCTGAGACACACCTGAGGGAGCAGGACCTGGAGCGGGGAGAGGGTCGACCTGGGGAGCACCTGGAGCGAGGAAGAGCGGCGGGGGAGGGAGAGGGGCAGTGCGGTAGGGGAAGAGACGGTAAAAGGGAACCGACTCATCGAACGTGACGTCCTGAGACGCAAAGACACGGCGCGAGGTGGGGTGGTAAAACTGCCAACCAGGCGCGTCAGGGACAAAGCCAAGGAAGACACAGGGAACTGCACGGGTGGAGAGCTTGTCCGCGGTGGTATCGCGGACAAAGGCACGAGCACCCCAGACCCGGAAACGCGACGCATCGCCAACCTTCCCCGTCCACAGCAGCGTGGGCGAGGTCTCCGGCAAGGAGACACGGGGCCAGAGGTTGAGCTGATGCGTGGCGTACCGGACCGCAAACGGCCACAGAAAATGGGGGGCAGCCGCATGGATCATGGAGGTACGAGCGACCTCCATGACTAAGCCAATGCGGCGCTCAGCAACCCCATTCTGCTGCGGAGAGTCCGGAAGCGTGAACGACTGGGTGATGCCGTGCTCCGCACAGAAGGCTGCCAAGAGGTCGGAGGAGAACTCACCACCTCTGTCAGAGTGCAGACGCAGGACGGGAAACTCCGTCCCGAACCGCTCGCGGAGCTGGAGACGGGCAGCGCGGATCCAAGGGATCAAAACAGCAGGGACCTCCCCCTTGCTGCGCAGGGGAAAGACCGTGGTGTAACGCGTGTAGTCGTCAACAACCAGCAGGAAGTACCGCTCGTGGCCCTGTCCACGGACGCGGGCTGGGCCCCACACGTCCAGGTGGAGAGTCTGCAGGGGAGCCTCTGTGGGAGGGAACGAGGAGGAGTGAGGAGCGGCGCGCTGCCGCCCCTCGACGCAAGGAATGCAGGGCGGCGCAAGCGAGGGAGGCAGGGCAGGCAAAGACCTGGGCAGACCAGAAACCAGGAAGCGAGAGTGCATGCCACGAAGGCGCTGCACCGAGGGGTGACCAAGGCGGTGGTGCCACAGGAGGGTCTGGTGCGACAAAGCGCGACACTCGCAGGGGGCCGTCGGCTGACCGGACGCAGACGCAGACGCAGCTACCTGAGCGGACGTAGTGGTCAGGGTGTACAGACTCGAGCCAGGCGCACGGGAAAACGTGGCCAGGTGTCGGCCGGTCCGAGCACACGTGCAGTGAGTCACCCGCTGACTCGCAGGAGTGAACTGGTGCACCCCCTGATCCTGGAGGTCAGCTCCACTCACCAAGTTCGTAGAGAACGAGGGGAGGTAAAGACCTGACAGCAAGCCAGACGGAGCAGCCGGACACGGCAGAACCGTGGAGTAGTGGGCAAGGACTGGACCCCCAGAGGGGTCCGCCAGGGAGACTGCAACCGGCCGACTAAGCGGCGTGAGTGTGGTGCAGTCGCGAAAGAAGGAGCGGGAAGCACCTGAGTCAAGCGTGAAGGTTTACAAGGCCGCAGCAGGCGCAGATTTAGAGAGAGCAGACTCACCAGCACCTGGAGCAGGAGACGTACCGGCACCTAGAGCAGCAGCCTCACCAGCACCCAGAGGAGGAGACGCACGAGCACCTAGGGCAGCAGCCTCACCAGTACCGGGAGCAGCAGGTGCTATACCAGGGTCAGGCGGGACGCACAGGTAACAGGCACGGTCAACACTAGTAGGCAATGCATACATGGCAGTGAGAATAGCATCATAGTCAGGAGCAAAGATATCTACCCTCTGTCCAAGCAGCTCCAGCCAGTCGGGGAGCTCAGCCTCGTCGCCAAACACTGTACGCCAGTCGTCGCTCAGACGGGCGAAGCAGCGGGACTGTGTGTGACCAAGCGTCCCGCAAGGCTGACCAGTCCTATCACCGGTGCGAATGACGTACTGGCAGCGAACTGTACGCGTAGACCTGCTACATCGAGCGTACCACTCGTGGAGCTGCCGGGACGTAAGTGTCTCGCGTGGGCGCCGCTGCAGCTGCAGCTGGCCACTGCTAGAGGCCCCCAACTGACCAGCTCCAGGGCGACAGCTACGACGGCTACCGCGACAGCCCCAACTAGTATACCACTCACTAAGCTGCTGGGGCGTGAGAGACTCGCGTGAGCGTTGCTGGAGCTGCATCTGGTCCCTTGCTAAGAGCTAGCAGCAGCAGCAGCTCGGGCAGGGCAGGCGCGGCAGGCCGGCAGACAGACAGGCAGGCCGGCAGGCAGGCAGGCAGGCAGGCAGGCAGGTAGGCAGGCAGGCTGACAGGCAGGCAGGCAGGCCAGCAGGTAGGCAGGCAAGCCGACAGGCAGACAGGCCGGCAGGCAGGCAGGCAGGCAGGCAGGTAGGCAGGCCAGCAGGCAGGCAGGTAGGCCGACAGACAGGCAGGCAGACAGACAGGCAGGCAGGCAGGCAGGCAGGCAGGCTGGCAGGCAGGCAGGCAGGCAGGCAGGTGCTCACCAAAGGCTGGAAGAGTAAGTGCTCGCCGGGCGAGCAGGGCCGAGTAGGCGCACGACTGCAGCGACGGTGGAGCCGTAACAGCGACTGCAGAGTAGGGCCGCAGCAACTGCAGGGTGGGGCCGCTTCAGCGGCAGTCGCAGAGTGGGGGCCGCATCAGCGGCAAGTCGGGGCCCCGGGAGCTGCAGCGCGGGGCCGCAGCAGTGGAAGGTCGGGGCCGATGCAGCTGCAGGCTATGCAATGCAGCTCGCGCGGCTGCTGTGGGCTGTGCGCGGGCTGCGGGAGGCAGAAGCAGGCCGCGCGCAGCAGCAGCAGGCTGTGCGCAGCTCAGCAGGGGCTGCGCGCAGCAGCAGGAGGCCGCGCGCGGCTCGGCAGGGGCTGTGCGCGGCTCGGGGGGGGTCGCGCGCGGCAGCAGCGAGCTGCGCGCGGCTCGGCGGGGCTGCGCGCAGCTGAAAAAGGGCCGCGCGCGGCTCGACAGGGCTGCGCGCAGCCAAAAACGGGCCGCGCGCGGCTCGAATAGGCTGCGCGCAGCAGGAAACGGGCTGCGCGCGGCTCGACGGGGCTGCGCGCGGCTCGGCGGGGACACGCGCGGCTCGGCGGGGGCTGCGCGCGCCAGATCCGGGCTGCGCGCGGCTCGGCAGGGCTGCACGCGGCTCGACGGGGGCGGTGCGCCGCGATGACGGTGTGTGAGAGGCAGCAGAGCGGCGCGAGCAGCGAGGGACAGTAGCAGGCAGCGTGCTTGACGTAGGTCTGCGCGGTAGCAGCAGCAGACGGCACAGTAGGCAGCAGGCAGTAGGCTACAGGCAGACGGCGCGCGCAGCGCAGCACGTCACAGGCACAGGCACAGGCGTGGGGTAGCGGTAGGTGGGCCCGGAAAAAAAAAACGGTCCTACGGACCTACTGCTCTGAAACCATGTCAGAATCTAGAGACAAGGATGATGCATTGATCAAGAGTTGGGTACATAAGCTAACCCTAACATTGGGTTGTACCCCATATGGGCTACCCCACTAGCAGCCTACACAAACACAATATGCATAGTTTGACAAAGGGGATGGGGGGGAAGGAAGAAAGAAAGAATGAGAGGGGGAAACGTTCGGGTGGAGGGGAGGTTAACCAGGAAGAATAAGCAGCGTTTAGGAAATGGTTTACGGAGTCGGACGGAAAGAGAGGCGATGATAGAAGATGTATGAAAGCCTGTGGTGGGGAAGGGGTGAAGGGTGTTACGAATGGTAATATTTTGTTCATTACTGTGCACTCCTCACCGCAGCAAAGGAAGCATGCAGTATCGAGAGTGAACACGAAGAGTCAGAGTTGACTCGAAGCGTCAGACGGTTAAGGCGCATCTGGACCGTCGGAGCAGATGGCATCGGACAGCTGCAGGCAGGATGGCTTTGGCGGGAACAGTTTCGTAACTGTTTGCGCCGCACGGTTGGGAATGAATTTGAATAAGGGAATGTACCCCTTAGAGTACATGGCTAGCTAGGACGTTTCGCCTTCCCTGTACTCATATTTATATTTGCTGTATTTGCATGTTTTATTCATCTCAAGCATTTTACATTCACTCTGCTATTGAGATCAAGGGCCCACCTGTTAAACTGTTATATGTTGGTAGGCTGTAGTGGGGTAGCCAATATGGGGTACAACCCCAACTAGGGTTTGCTACTTGTACCCAACTGTTTCATTCAATGCACCATTCTCACGCTAGTATTCTGATATGGTATTCAGAGCAGGTGGTCCCTAGGACCATCCGATCGTTTTTTTTTTAGGGCCCACCACCGCCCGCTGTGCCCCGAGCCGCCCGTCGATCTGCTGCGCAGCCCCGCGACCCGCCCGCCCTGCCCCGCGCTGCTCGTCGCTCGGCTCTGCAGCCCCGCGCGCCGCCCGCTCTGCCCCGCGCAGCCCGTCGAGCTGCCTTGCAGCCCCGCGCGCCGCCCGCTTTGCCCCACGCCGTCCGTCGCGCTGCCCGCCCGCCCGCCGCGCTGCCCGCTTGCGGAGTCGCCCGCCTGTCGCGCTGCCCGCCTGCAGCGCCGCCTGCCTGCCGCGCTGCACGCTTGCAGAGCCGCCCGTCCGCCGCGCTGCCCGCTTGCAGCGCCGCCTGCTGCTCCCTGCCCGTGCGCAATTGCCCGCCCCTGCTGTGGTAGCTTGCGTTACTCTGTCGTACTGTCGCTATGGCTTCCATCCGCGTGCTTTCGTTCGATGCTGAGGGCCGCCCTGTGCAGTTCACCACTTGGCTAGATGACCTGCAGCTGTTCCTCCTGAGCGATAGCAAGGAGCATGTGTCGCTCTATGATTACGCGTCTGGTGCTGCGCCTGCCCCTCCTGCCACAGCAGAGCTTAGTGTTCGTTCCCACTGGCAGACTCGTGACGCAGCTGCTCGCCTAGCCATTCGCAGTCACCTGCCGTTAGCTGAGCTCGAGCATTTTGGCGACTGCAAAACCGCTAAGGCCCTGTACGACGCTGTCGTTGCCCGCTATTCCTCACCTGCCACAGCCGAGCTTAGCCGCCTTATGCTGCCTTACCTGTTCCCTGAGCTGTCCACCTTTGCTACAGTCGCCGATCTTATCACCCACCTTCGCACTAGTGACGCTCGCCTGCGTGCCGCCCTTCCCACCGAGTTCTGCGCTAAGAACCCCCCTCCACTGTACTGGACACTCCACTTTATAGTCACCCGTCTCCCTGACACCCTTAGCTCAGTGCGCGACTATTTCCTTGCTCGCTGTCCCACTGAGCTCACTGTCGCCCTCCTAGAGGAGAAACTGCTAGCAGCCGAGAAGAGCATTGTAGCTGTAGGTGCTGCTCGTGGCGCTCCTCGCACCCCCATCTTTGAGGGGTGTTCTCCCTCTCCCCTCGCTCCCTCCTACGCTACTGCTGCTGCTGTTGACTTCCTTGGTGCTGAGTCTGCTGGCGCTGCTTCTGCTCCTGGTGCGCCGCACCGGCAAGGGCAAGGGGGGCAAGGGTGGCGGGGGTGGCGCTGGGGGGGGAGGAGGTGGGGGAGGTGGGGGGGGAGGCGGTGCTGGAGGGAGCGGTGGCGGGAGTGCTGGTGGGAGTGGGGTCGGCAGCGGAGGCGGGGGCGGCGGAGGGAGCGGTAGCGGTGGCGGTGGCGGCGGCGGCGGTGGCGGTGGCGGCGGCGGCGGTGGCGGTGGCGGCGGTGGCGGTCGGAGCGGAGGTAGTGGTGGCGGCGGAGGTCGGAGTGGAGGCACTGGCTCGGGCCAGAGCTCCCACCAGCAGCAGCGTCCCCAGACGACCCAGCAGCTTCGTGAGTGGCTTGCTCAGCGTGGGACGTCGGGGGGCAGTGGCCGCTGTTCCTATGTCATTCGCACAGGTGACCGCAAGGGACAGACGTGTGGGAGGTTCCACACCCCGTACCGCTGCTTCTCCCGCCTTGACGACGCTTGGCGTGAGGAGATGGGCGAGGATGTTGAGCGCCCCCGCTGGGCTGAGCTGATGAGGGCTGGTGTTGATATCTTTGCTCTTGACTACGATGCTATTATTGCTGCCATGTATGCATTGACTGTTAGTGCCGAGGGAGACTGTTACTTGTGTGTGCGGCCTGACTGTATGCATTGACTGTTAGTGCCGAGGGAGACTGTTACTTGTGTGTGCCGCCTGACCCAGGTATAGAGCCCGCTGCCCTGGGTACTAGTGAGTCTGCTCTCTCTGGTCTGGTGCCCTCTGTGGCTGCTCCCTCCAGTACTGTCCCTGCTGCTTGTGAGTCTGCTCTCTCAGGTACAGCACCCACAGAGACTGCTCTCTTAGGTTCTGCGCCGGCTGAGGCCTGTCACACCTTCACCCTTGACTCAGGTGCTTCCCGCTGTTTCTTTCGTGACAGTACTGAGCTCACACCGCTTCCTGCACCGGTCCCAGTCTCCTTGGCTGACCCCTCGGGGGGCCCAGTCCTTGCACGGTCCACCACTGTGCTCCCTTGTCCGGCGGTTCCGTCTGGCTCGTTGTCGGGTTTCCACCTCCCCTCGTTCTCGACGAACCTGGTGAGCAACGCTGTCATCCAGGATCAGTGGGTTGACACCTTTACTCCTGGAGGACAGCGTGTGGCGATCCTCACGTGCTCCAGGACTGGCCGTCACCTGGCTACGTTTACCCGTCAGCCGGGGTCGAGTCTCTACACACTGTCCACTGCGTGGAGTGGAGGCACCGGCTCGGGCCAGAGCTCCCAGCAGCAGCAGCGTCCCCAGACGACTCATCAGCTTCGTGAGTGGCTTGCTCAGCGTGGGACGTCGGGGGGCAGTGGCCGCTGTTCCTATGTCATTCGCACAGGTGACCGCAAGGGACAGACGTGTGGAAAGTTCCACACTCAGTACCGCTGCTTCTTCCGCCTTGACGACGCTTGGCGTGAGGAGATGGGCGAGGATGTTGAGCGCCCTCGCTGGGCTGAGCTGATGAGGGCTGGTGTTGATATCTTTGCTCTTGACTATGATGCTATTATTGCTGCCATGTATGCATTGACTGTTAGTGCCGAGGGAGACTGTTACTTGTGTGTGCCGCCTGACCCAGGTATAGAGCCCGCTGCCCTAGGTGCTAGTGAGTCTGCTCTCTCTGGTATGGTGCCCCCTGTACCTGCTCCCTCCAGTGCTGTCCCGGCTGTTTGCGAGTCTGCTCTCTCAGGTACAGCACCCACAGAGACTGCTCTCTCAGGTACCGCACCGGCTGAGGCCTGTCACACCTTCACCCTTGACTCAGGTGCTTCCCGCTGTTTCTTTCGTGACAGTACTGAGCTCACACCGCTTCCTGCACCGGTCCCAGTCTCCTTGGCTGACCCCTCTGGGGGCCCAGTCCTTGCCCAGTCCACCACTGTGCTCCCTTGTCCGGCGGTTCCGTCTGGCTCGTTGACGGGTTTCCACCTCCCCTCGTTCTCGACGAACCTGGTGAGCAACGCTGTCATCCAGGATCAGTGGGTTGACACCTTTACCCCTGGAGGACAGCGTGTGGCGATCTGCACGTGCTCCAGGACCGGCCGTCACCTGGCTACGTTTACCCGTCGGCCGGGGTCGAGTCTCTACACACTGACCACTGCGTCTCCTCAGGTCGCTGCTGTCGGTCAGGTGTCTGCGTCAGGTCTGGTAGCCCACGCCTGTGAGTGTCGTTCCCTGTCGCACCAGACTCTTCTCTGGCACCACCGCCTGGGCCACCCCTCCTTGCCACGCCTCCATGGCATGCACCGTCGCCACCTTGTGTCTGGTCTTCCCAGGTCCCTCCCTCCCCTCCCTGCCTCGCCTGCGCCGCCTTGCCTTCCTTGCGTCGAGGGGCGGCAGCGCGCCGCTCCTCACTCCTCCTCGTTCCCCCCGACAGAGGCTCCTCTGCAGACCCTCCACCTGGACGTGTGGGGCCCAGCCCGCGTTCGTGGCCAGGGCGGTGAGCGGTACTTTTTGCTGGTTGTCGACGACTACTCGCGTTACACCACGGTCTTCCCACCAAGGGTGAGGTCCCTGCTGTTCTGATCCCTTGGATCCGCACAGTTCGTCTTCAGCTCCGCCGCCGTTTCCAGACGGATCTTCCTGTCCTGCGTCTGCACTCTGACAGAGGTGGTGAGTTCTCCTCCGACCTCTTGAGGACCTTCTGTCAGGCGGAGGGCATCGAGCAGACCTTCACGCTTCCGGACTCCCCACAGCAGAATGGGGTTGCTGAGCGCCGCATTGGCCTGGTCATGGAGGTCGCTCGTACCTCCTTGGTCCATGCGGCGGCTCCCCATTTTCTGTGGCCGTTTGCTGTCCGGTACGCCGCGCATCAGCTCAACCTCTGGCCCCGTGTCTCCTTGCCGGAGACCTCGCCCACACTGCGTTGGACGGGGGAGGTTGGCGATGCGTCGCGCTTCCGGGTGTGGGGTGCTCGTGCCCTTGTCTGCGATACGTCCGCGGACAAGCTCTCCTCCCGCACGCTTCCCTGTGTCTTCCTTGGCTTTGTCCCTGACGCGCCTGGCTGGCAGTTTTACCACCCCACCTCGCGCCGGGTCTTCGCCTCTCAGGACGTCACCTTTGACGAGTCGGTCCCTTTTTACCGTCTCTTCCCCTACCGCACTGCCCCCCTCCCTCCCCCGCCGCTTTTCCTCGCTCCTGGTCCCCCTCCGGTAGACCCCCTTCCCCCTCAGGGTCCTGCTCCTTCAGGTGTCTCTCAGGTAGACCCTCCTCCCGTCGCTGAGCCTGTCGAGGTCACAGGTGACTCAGGTGCTGCTGCAGGTGGTGCTGCTGGGAGTGCTGAGCCTGGGGGTGCTGAGCCTGCGGGTGCTGGGCCTGGGGGTGCTGGGGCTGCGGGTGCTGGGACTGAGGGTGCTGGAGCTGAGGGTACTGTGCCTGAGAGTTCGGAGCCTGGGGGTGCTGAGCCTGGGGGTGCTGAGCCTGGGGGTGCTGAGCCTGGGGGTGCTGAGCCTGGGGGTGCTGCGACTGGGGGTGCTGAGCCTGCGTGTGCGGAGTCTGGGGGTGCTGAGCCTGGGGGTGCTGCGCCTGAGGGTACTGAGCCTGGGGGTGCTGCTGCTGAGCCTACGGAGCCTGGGGTTGCTGCGTCTGGGGGTGCTCCGGTTCGGGGTGCTGAGCAGTCTCTCACACCGCAGCAGCTTCGTGACTGGTACGTCCGGCGCTTTCGCCGTCCTCGTGGCCCTGCTGGAGTTGGAGGTTCTGGAGCTGCTCGTCCTGGAGGTGCTCGTACTGGAGGTACTGGAGCTGCCGGGACTGGTTGTTCTGGGAGCACTGAGGCTGGAGCTGCTGGAGCTGGGGACTCTGGAGCTGGCGGTGCCAGCGGAGTTGGAGCTGCCGGCTCTGGGGGTGCTCTTCCTGGCGGTACTGGAGCTGCTGGAGCTGACGACACTGGAGCTGACGGTTCTGGACACGGTGGTCCTGCTGGTTCTGGAGGTGCTGGCGAGGGGAGGTCTGCCGCTGCTGGGGCCTCTGGTGCTGACGTCGCCGACTCTGGGGGTGCTGCGGCGGAGGGTGCTGGTCCTGGTGCTTCTGGTGCTGCGGGTGCTGGAGGTGCTGGCGGAGCTCCGCCGTCGCGCCTGTTCTTCGCTCCTCCGTCGCCGTCGGCTTTGCCACCGCCTGACACGGTGCTTCGCCAGGTTCTTTCCCTCCCGTCTTCCACTGGCCTTCCCCTCCAGCCTGGCTCCCCCCTCCCTGCTCCTGTGCCTTACACTGCACAGCCGGACTCGCTTACGGAGCGTCGTGAGCCTGTGTCTCGTCCTGCCTCGCCTGTTCGTGCTGCTCGCACTGCTCGCACTGCGCGCACTGGTCCCACTGGTCGTCGTGTCGCGCGTCCGCGTCCTCCTCCTGTTCCTGGCACGCATATTATGGCCCTTCGTCCTTCCACTGGTCCACAGCGTGTCCCCCTACCGTCTCCCCCTGCGTCTTCTCTTCCTGACGTTCCCGACCCTGAGTCTGACAGTGTTCGTGCTGCCCACCCTACTGTTACGCGTCTTCTCGCCACTGTTGTCACTGACCCGTCGTTTGAGTCTTCTGCTGCGTCTGCCCTGGTCGCTGAGCTTGTCGACTTTGCTGCTGCCTGTCGCCTAGACTACGCCGCCAGTCTTGTTGCTGAGTCTGAGTCTGTCTGTCCTCCGTCCGTCGGGGGTGAGTGTGCTCTTGGCACGGACGTCCTTGAGGACAGGCAGGAGGACTTTGACTCTCTTGCGGCTGCTGTACCTCATCTCGTGGCCTGGTTGCTTGCCCCTGAGGGAGACCCGGATGCACTAGACATCCCCACTCCGCGCTCTTACGCAGAGGCGATCTCGGGTCCCTACTCCTCTCAGTGGCAGACAGCCATGGACGCAGAGATGGCATCCTGGAAGTCCACAGGCACCTACGTCGACGAGGTTCCCCCTCCTGGGGCGAACATCGTCGATGGCATGTGGATTTTCAGGGTGAAGCGGCCGCCGGGTTCTCCACCTGTCTTCAAGGCTCGTTACGTTGCTAGAGGCTTCAGTCAGCGTCAGGGGGTTGACTTCTTCCAGACCTTCTCCCCCACCCCGAAGATGACCACTCTTCGGGTTCTGCTGCACGTTGCTGCTCAGCGTGACTACGAGCTTCACTCTCTTGACTTCAGCACAGCTTTCCTGCAGGGCAGCCTGCACGAGGAGATCTGGCTGCGCCGCCCACCTGGCTTTACTGGGTCGTTTCCTCCTGGTACCCAGTGGAGCCTCCGCCGGCCAGTCTACGGTCTCCGCCAGGCGCCACGTGAGTGGCACGACACACTGAGGACTACACTTGCGGCCCTTGGGTTCGCGCCGTCTACTGCTGACCCGTCGCTGTTTCTGCGCACAGACACGTCGCTGCCGCCGTTCTACATTCTCGTGTACGTCAACGACTTGGTCTTTGCTACTGCTGACACTGAGGCACTCGCTCGTGTGAAGTCGGAGCTGCAGAAGAGACACACCTGCACTGACCTGGGTGAGCTGCGTAGCTACCTTGGCTTGCAGATCACCTGGGACAGAGCACGCCGCACCATTACCCTGACTCAGTCACACATGGTGCAGCAGGTCCTTCAGCGCTTCGGCTTCCAGTTCTCCTCACCACAGGCCACACCTCTGGCTACCAGCCACTCGCTCTCAGCTCCACCTTCGGACGAGTCTG